TGTGTGTTTATCAATGAGTTTGACATTTTTGTTTTTTTAAACGAGACTTTTGCAGGCATAATCTAATAATCTAACTAATAAATCATCAAAAGTCAATAGAAAGACATTGTTAAATGTCAAATTGTTATGCTTACTTTGGTTAGAAATTGCTTATTATTAACACAATGTACACTGTAAAAAACATATTGTTAGTTTAACTTAAAAAATGAAGTAACCTGGTTGCCTTAAAAATTTAAGTTCATTGAAATGGTGATTGATTTAATCGTTAGAAACTCAAAATATTATGTTATCTGAACTACATAAATTATTTAAGTTGATTTGACAAAAGAAATAATGTTGTGATTACAAATCATGAAAATATATTTGTATTTTTCTGTGTGTACAAATGACTAGAAATGTCATGGGAATGTGAATGATCAAAAGGTTTGAGAACCGATAGTTTGATCAGTTATTCACTTCCAAAAACTGAGCATTTGTGAAATATTTTGGTAATAATTGTACACTTTTAAAAGGTTTTTCCTCAACCTTAAAAAAATATTTAAAAAAATATAATGCATAATTGTGACTGAATTTGATAGACAGTGATCAACCAGCATTTTTTTTTTTTTTTTTGTATGAGAAAGAATATTTGACATTTTTTAGATGATAACAGTTTTGATAATAATTTGTATTCCATGGGGAAAAGTGTTATTTCCAGTCCCATTAGAAGAGTGAGTTCGGAAGATGGGCTACGACTCAATTGGACTGACAAAATGAAAAATTAAAATTAAAATAAAATTGAAAGCTGGATTGAAAATATAGATACACATTCTGCTCAGAAAAGGGAATATGAAAATTATTAAACATTAAGATAAAAATAATAATTATTTTCTTTCATTCATTGATGTGCATGAAACCTGAATTTCAAATTAAATTTTGAAAATTACAATAGTTCAAAACTTTCAGATACAATTGTATGACCTCAGGCAAACATGGCGGCATCAACGGAAATGTTCACAGATAAAATCAGCTCCTTTTAAAATGTAATGTAGGCACTTATATGCATTTTATATGATCATAAAATTTTATAAAAAAGTTTAGCAAACATTTGCAGAGATCGAAGTATAAACACGGTGAACGATCTTCTCTGTTGACAATCACACACCTGCAAAACAAATGTATTGCCATTTTATTCTTTAAATGTCATAAATCAGCCATGTAAAGTAAGAATATTACACTTTTTCTACACATTGGTTACTACAAAAATATCTAAAATATATAAAAATATGATGTATATAAAAAAAAATATTAGGGCTGTGAAATGAATAATCGCGATTAATCGCATCCCAAAATAAAAGTTTGTGTTTACATAATATATCTGTGTGTAGTGTGTATAATTATTTTGTATATATAAATACACACACATGCATGTATACATTTAAGAAATTTTTGCATGTATATACTTTATATATATTTATACAAAATTAATACTATACATAAATATAAATATTTTATATATTAATAAGACATTTTTCTTAAATATATACATGCATTTATGTGTATTTATATATATATATATATATATATATATAATAATTATACACACTACACACACACATATATTATGTAAATACAAACTTTTAATACTATACATAAATATAAATATTTTATATATTAATAAGACATTTTTCTTAAATATATACATGCATTTATGTTTATATATATATATATATAATGTAAATACAAACTTTTATTTTGGACGTTTCAGCCCTAAAAATATATTTAATTAATGATTTTTTTTTTTTTGGCAATTTTTGCCATTTTATCCAGATCATAGTACAGTTGGAAAGAGGATATATAAGGTGGATGTTTTTTTGGCTCAGCACAATATGCTGAACATACTCACTTCCACTGTAGGTCAACATAATGATAGGATTCATTTGCATATGACACATTGTGTTCGAACGGGATCATAACATTCCAGAAATTGCTCCGTTTTATATAACGTCGTCTCATTGTGTGTAGTGTTGTGGTATCTGTGGAATGGCAGTATTGTTGTGAACCTAAGATTATAGGATCTTCACACAACAAGAGTGATGGTTGGGGTTTTAGTATCCACAGACAGGAATGTGGATTGGGACACTGTAGTTCCAGAAGAGATAGGGTATTAGCGGGCTAGCTGTGATTATGTTTGAACTTTGAACACAGTGATTAGCTGGAATGTCGAGGTTCCTGTGTTCTGCCGACATTAATACATCAACTATTGTCAAAACAGGCTAAAAATGTGTCGATCGGGAAGGAAGCCGCAGACCTGCACACAGGATGAGCGGGCTTTGATATCGTTTGGGTTCTCTTTGTCGTTTTTTGGTCGCTTTTCGTTTCCGATTTCAAGCATTTTCAAGTCACTCATCCACGCTGAAACGTTGGAAAACGTCGAAATCATCGTACTGGGCATACGTAACATGTAATAAAAGCTCACTGAGATAATACCAGAAATAATAAAGTGCTCATGCTTTTCTTCTGGCACTTGCAGGTGCGTCAAGGTCTCACTCAATCGCCATTCCTTATGGTCTAAAACGCATCTTTGCAGGAATGTAATACGAAGATTTTACAAAGTAACATTTATTTTCAGCAACACTGTGAATGTGAATAGCACATAGAAGACACTTACAGGTATCTAATTAGTACACAATATGCATCACATGACTAAATATATGCGTCATCTTTTTCAAATTCCTCAATTTTTTCAGTTCACACAACAGGCCAAAAAAACTGCATTTTCAAATGTATCCACTTTGTTAGAGCGTCCTCAGAAAGCTTGCAGGACAAAAGATGGATTTTCTCAAATGTGTATGATTAGAATGGCACATTGTGTCCTGATATTCCCCAGCTTCCCAGGGCTCCCATTCTTCAAAACCTCTCCATCTTCTAATGTGGTTGTGGTTAAATTTGTCACGCTATACAAGTTTGCGGACTGGCCAAGAGTCATTTCACATGACATGCAAAGTTGTGTTTTAAAGCAGTGATGCTGCGTTTTCTGTTCTGCCATGTGTGGAATGGATTTAAAAATGTAAGCCAGATGGACCATGTTGTGGTTAGTGGGTTCAGTTTGTACTCTTCTGCTTTGGATTCGTGTTGCGCATAGTGTGTTGTTAATTTTCAGGTTTTGCTTCCTCATATAGTATAAGTCTTCATAAGATATTATCTGTCCAGTAAATATGATAATTCCCTGTTCATGAACCATGTGATGCAATGGCAAGAGCTGTTTCTGATTGGTTGGCTTCACACAAATTCTGCGAGCATTTTTGCAGAACGGTTAGGCCTCTACCAAAACTTTGAGTTTTACTCTATTTTACTTAAGGAAAAATATGTCATTTTTTTAAAAAACGTACCGACACTGTCATGGTGGTGTACAAAATTCCTTTCTGTGATATCATTTCCTGTTTTAGTAATTTTTTTGTCACATGACAACATTAAAATGGCTTCCTTGCATGTTGGTTACACCCCATGTTGGTTAAGGCTGCATATCTCGGCTTCCACGTCACCTGCATCGAATTTGAAACATTAATTCGGCTTATTTTGAAGGATACATCAAGTGTGTCATCTGTGTCCTCCAATCACCCCCAAGCCTTTGCACAAACTCCAATAAAAAAAAAATTAAAAATAAGATTTGGCAGAAAATGAGTCGGCTTTGAGCTTGTCCAATTTCATTATGAAATGCAAGACAAAAACAATCTGAGATAAAGGCATTATGTAAGGTAATATACGTAAATAATTTTAATATAAAGTATTTTTTCCAAATTATTTTCAATAGTATTTTCCATATTAATTATATTTGATCTGTCAATAACTGTTTTATTGCGAGCAGCACCATATGAAACTTAACAGCCACTATAGGATTAATGGGTCAGATTTTAAAAGAAAAGAGGAAAAAAAAAAAAAACATGTCTCTGCATGTGCTACATGGAGCCTTTTAGTTCACAAACAACAGCAAAGACCATCCTAAGCTGCCATCACATCCTGTAACTATCCATTAACAACTCTAAATTAGACATAGGAAGCATTAGGCCAGCATTTCAAAATACCCCATTTTCCACCTCTCTAGGGAAAATGGTTCTAATGATTGAGATCACCATGACAACGTAGGTAATGTGTCTATGCCAGGCTGAATGTTTACCCATGTCTGCCTGACATTACGGTATGTGAACTCATCAGAATCATAGAAAAGTTCATAATTATACTAGACTAAATTCGCCCTGGTGCCAAAACTATTGTTTGGCAAGAGTAGAATAGCAGGCATAGAAACGGCTGCGTTCTCTGGTCAAGTGATTTGTTGCTGTGTTTTTCTCTCCTGTAAATGAACAGGTAAAGAAAGCGAAAATGTTCTTGAAACTTACGTGTGACTGTTTAGAAATGGGTCTTTGAAACAATTCCCATCTCCCATTGTTCAGATGAACAGGTAATTCACAGGTCAAGCCACTCATTGTTGTGTTTGCATGTAAAGCTGTCACCTTTAATAATTTAAAATCAAAATCGTAACTTTTGGAGGAACAGATTCTTTCTCTTTTATAATTTATAATTTAAAATTGTCTACTAGATAAAGTGTAGCATTTTTAAGAGAGATATTTATCATTAATAATAGTCTTGGTGGTCTAAACCTGAGTATTGTACAATTCTCACTAAAAATAGAATGATGTTTTTATGATTCACAGCAAAACATTGAAGGGATTCTCCGTTCTATTGAGAGCAATTTGTAAATATTTGCAAGAATATGTTTAAAAGAATGGCTGATGTTCAAGGAAAACTGTCTCCTTTGAATGACAGAAAATGATACATATAGGTGAAGGAAAGGGTGAGTGGACGAGCGCGGAGGTGTAGAGAAAAGAGAGTTTAATAGAAAACAGCTGCTGCGAGGATTTGCACTCTGCTGATTTACCGTCAGAGGAGAATTTACGGGAACGAGGCAAACTACGAACATAACACTCATGCTTTTTTTTCCTTGCTTTGCTTCTCTTCCACAGAACTCGATCAGACACAACCTGTCCCTACATAGTAGGTTTATCCGTGTGCAGAATGAGGGGACAGGTAAGAGCTCTTGGTGGATGCTCAACCCTGAAGGCGGCAAAAGTGGCAAGTCGCCTCGACGCCGGGCCGCCTCCATGGACAACAACAGCAAGTTTGCCAAGAGCAGAGGACGAGCGGCAAAGAAAAAGGTAAAAGCTGCACCCCAAACCTTGCTGTGATCTCATATACCCATTTTCCACCAAAGCATTTTGAGAGCCGGTTCGGAGCCGGACCACTTCTTTGTGTTTCGACAGCCAAAGAACCGGTTCTCGGCCAGGAAAACTGGTTCCAAAGCGGCACCAACTCTTTGCTGGACTGGAACCGTTCTTTTATCATGTCATGCTTACGTCGGGAGCTGGGGCGGGTTTAGATGTGTTCTAAACATCTTTCGCAAAGCCATCGCAAAGCCAGGAGTAACATTTGCAGAAACACGATGGAGTCCGCCTTTGTAATTGTTATGCTTGAAGTTGGCGCAAGCATTTCCATTTTTTTATTGAAAACATTATAAGCAAAGAAGAACTGTCACAATATAGAACAAATAAATGGAAAGAAATAAAAAGACACAAGACAGGGGTACATAACTAATCAGGAAAGATTACATACCAAAGGAAAATATTAAAGATTTCTTGGTACACGAGTTAGAGATAATCCCAAAGTAATGTTGTACTTGCAAGTGTTTCTAGCTAATGCGTATGGCCAGCAGCCATATCACCTGGTAGCCCAAGACTGGTTGCCCACTGAAGCTAAGCAGGGCTGAGTCTGGTCAGTACCTGGATGGGAGACCTTCTGAGAAAGCCAGGTTGCTGCTGGAAGAGGTGTTAGTGAGGCCACCAGGGGGCGCTCACCCTGTGTGGGTCCTAATGGGGATACTATACTGTCAAAGAGCACCGTCCTGCGGATGAGACGTTAAACCGAGGTCCTGACTCTCTGTGGTCATCAAATCCCAGGATGTCTTTCGAAAGAGTAGGGGTGTAACCCCGGCATCCTGGCAAAATTTGCCCAGTGGCCTCTGTCCATCATGGCCTCCTAATCATCCCCATATATATACCAATTGGCTTCATCACTGTCTCCTCTCCACCAGTAAGCTGGTGTCTGGCGCACTATGGCAGCCGTCGCATCATCCAGGTGGATGCTGCACACTGGTGGTGGTTGAGGAGATTCCCCTCTCTATGTAAAGCTCTATATAAATGTAATGAATTATTATTATTATTATTATGGCGACGTACACAGTGACATAACAACGTCATTACCTGGGCGCTCTAATCAGTGGAAAAACAAACAGGTTCTGAAAAAGTTCGCAAGTTGAACCAACTCCGAACCAACTTTGAACCAGCGCCAGTTCCGAACCAGTTCTTTTTTGGTGGGAAAGGGGTATTTGATAAACAGTACAAACTAGCCATGAAAATATGTTATTTTTCTCACGAGTGCTTCTGTCTCTCTCTAAATTTATAGCTGGCTCTTCAAGGTGGGGCCGAGGGGGGCGCAGACAGCCCAGGCTCTCAGTACGGCAAGTGGCCCGGCAGTCCAAACTCCCACAGCAACGACGACTTTGACGCCTGGACGGCTTTCCGTCCCCGCACCAGCTCCAATGCCAGCACACTGAGTGGTCGTCTCTCGCCCTTTATTGATGACGAACTTGGCGACTCTGATGTCCACATGGTCTACCCAGGCCCTGGGTCAGGGGCCAAAATGACCTCCACCCTCCCCAGCTTGTCTGAAATGGCTGGTTCTCTGGGTCACAATGGCTCTGAGAATGTGATGGAAAACCTTCTGGATAACCTCAACTTGCTCTCACCTAAGAACACATCAGTGGGGTCCTCAGGAGGCCCTGGGTCAGGATCCAACCAATCCTCACCCTCTTCCCTCATGCAGGCCAGCCCTGGTTACTCCCCCTACAGTTCCCCAGGTCTGGCTGCAGTCAACCAGCAGACTCAACAAGACTATCGTAAGTGTCTCTACGGCCAGGCAGGAATGGGCAGCATGTCCCCCATGCCCATGCAGTCTCTGTCCGAAAGCAAGTCCAGTTTTGGTCCTGGTCCAGGAACTATGGGCCAGTTTAACTGCTCAGCAGGGCTGCTGAAGGAGCTTCTTACGTCTGATGGGGAGTCTGGAGAGCTCCTGCCCTCGGTGGATACCGTCGTCTCCCAGTCAGCTGGAAGTGGTGGATGTATGTTGCCCCCCTACAGCAGTAGGCGGAATGAACTTATGGGGGTTGTTGGAGCATCTCATAGCCATGCCCTCTCTCATCCGCACAATATGCACGGACAAGCCCCGACCACACCCGTGGCATTGAATGGGCGATCACTGCACCCTATGGCCACGATTGGCGGTGTCAATGGACGCCTGGGAAGCATCAAGTCAGCATTGCATATGCAGTACGGAGGCTCTGGTCATCATGGAGGTGGAATTCCTTACTGCAGCATCAACAGCAACGGATATGGCCGGGGCCCAGGGATGATGCCCCACCTTCAACAGCAACACCTGGAGAAGCTGCCCAGTGATCTGGACGGCATGCCTGTGGAGCATTTCGATTGTGACGTGGAGTCCATCTTGCACGATACACTCATGGATGGAGAATCGCTGGACTTCAACTTCGACCCCATGGCCACCCAACAGGGGTTCCCGCCTCACAGTGTAAAGACCACCACTCACAGCTGGGTGTCTGGGTAGGGAACTACTTTTATTAAACTTAGGCGGTCAATAAGGTGGCCTCTTAGTCCGTAAAAGAAATTGACATATTTTTTATTTCTTCACAGGTAAAAACTCTCAACTGGAGTACAGCAACACTGAGCTGCTGTCCACATGGAACCAAACCTCTCGTCAACCCCTCGTCAGGGAACGTAGCCCCTGTTATTCTTTCGCTTTCTTCAACAGAGGCGGCTGAGATGAAACCTCACACTGCCAAGCTCGTTGGCTCAGTGAGGAGCTAAATTGCAAGGACGTTTTCCTCAGACTTTGGGACTCACGTTCAAACCAAGTGCCAAACCAGGTGCCTGTGCTCCATAGCCAAATTGACAAGCTTTATTTTACTGCCTTCTTCTTGCTGTAGAGAATCTATGCTCAAATCAGGGCGAAGAGAACCTAAGGCCCTTACATCTGCTGCAGCACACACTTACCAATGTCCACACCAATTTACAGGAATGGTTTTAAAGTCACATTTTCCATCAAGGGCAAAATGTGATACGGTATAACACGCAGTACAGTTGCTACACCTCAGAAAAATGTCACCCAAGTTCATAGCTTTCTCTTATTCACTGTGTTGCCAGTTTAAAACCCTACCCTGCAGTTATTGCTGTGGGTAACACATTCATGCTGTGCTTCATAGAGACTCCACGATTGGCCTTATTGGGAAGGAGAACTGGAACAGTTGCAGGAAGGAATGACTGTAAATAGATTTATTTAGAAACGGTCCTGCAGAAACGTTAGGGAAATTGTTGCAGACTAGTTGAACTACGTCGCATACAGCACATCATAACACTTTCATTTCTGTCTCGTCCGCATATTTGACGTAGAGCAGATGTACAGTACTACAATTCTAATGAGTATGTTACTATAAACTGGTGTACAGAGAGTTTACACAATGATATCAACAATCAGGGCAACATATTTCATGTTGTTTTGTAAACCTGAGAGAAACTGGATTTGGTATTCTACATTTTGTTGGGCTTACATGGAAGAAGTTTTCTCATTTAAATTGTACACATCTTTCCACATTTCTTGTAAATACATGAAATATATGTTTCAAAAACGTATAAAGTAGAAATATTTAGTTTTTTTTTTCTTTTGTATTATCATAATTATTCGTATTGCTGTTTATTATTGGCTTTGAGATTTATTATTTGGTTTGAGATTTTTGTTATTTAAAGGAATAGTTCGTCCAATGATGAAAAACATATTTACTCGTGTCATTCCAAACCATTTATTTATTCTGTGGAACACAAAAGGTAAATAAAAGGTGGTGAACAAGTCTATCAAATCGGGCATCATTATCATTCAATGGCAAACACCAGTGGTTCATTGGAAGAAAGAATGTCACACATGTTTGGAATGACAGGACGGCGAGTAAAGGATCCCAGAATTAACATATTTGGATGAATTTCTCTTCTAAGCTGTGTATAGTGTGTTTCTTCAGAGGTTTGTGGCCCTCAAAAGATAAAAAATTTAGCATTTAAAGACAATAATAATAAAATCGTCTGTGCATTCCTGTATTAAAAAAAGATCAGGCCTGTGTTTGTTATGACCCATATAAGAGCTAAATCGAAAGATTCCCATGGTAAGAAAAATTCAAGGCCACCAAAGCCTTTTAGAGCTACAGCGCCAGCAGACTCCTACGCCTTTGCCACCATATTGAATCTATATTGCTGTAGCAATGCTGCAGTTTTCTGCCTTTAAGAAAGTGTAGAGAGTTTTTGACTTAACATTTTACTTTTATTTATTTGGCTGAAGGAGAGGTGGTGTGATTGTGTCATGTCATGGTGTATCATTTACACTTGTATTATATTTCTGTTTGATTTCACATCTCTCTCAAATTGCAGGCACTGTGATGTATACGTTCTGCAAGTTTGTGGTGATTTTCCAAGTCTGTGCTTTTCTCGTTCCCGAAAATTTCAACAGTTTTGCCTCCTTGCACTACTACAGGTAGACCTTCAAAATGTTCAAACTGGTAAAAATTGAAGCAGGGTGCCAATATCTCAGATAATTCATTAAAGACTTGAAAATATTGCGTAGTCACAGACGGCAACATAATGTCGGCCCATATCTGGTACATGTCGAATCCACACGAACCAGACGTGGGCCTGATCTCGGCCGACGCTATGTTGCTGTCTGGGGTGTTATAAAACAAATGCTTCGGCCAACCTTTAAATATTAAATGCTTAATGTTATTAGACGCTAACACTGTTTTCTACTGGTTTCTATTCCTGTGGCTTTGTTACTGTGAAGCCCTAGCCATTGTGAAATCTAATTGGTCCAAAATTCCACTTTACATACATAAAATATGATTGGCTGTGCCATAATTTTCACTTTCAGTATAAACAAATTTCTTGTCGCGCCTAGTTGGGATACAGTGAGGTTCAGTCATTGGACGAAAGTCAGACATCTGTTTACTTCACACCATAAAAATATTATTATTATTATCAAGCTCTGACCCACACTGCCTCACTCAGCACAGGGAAAAGATCGGATGCTTTTTTTTTTACTAATATCACTGTGCTCGGCATCATCATGAATATGCATTTGCTTTGTGAATTTAGCTGGTGATCCCACCTATGCACATACATGTACTTTAATGATCATTTTGATTATTGTCATCTCCAGTATGTTTTTATCGATGACGAGATATTTGATATTTCATGTTTGATAGAGCTGTGGAGTCATGTTAATGTCACAGATGTTAGTTCATAGTTCTGAAGAATATGAAGTATATTTAGAGAGTAGATCATTTACATGCAAAGCTTTTTGTACACTGACACTGTTATTCTTGTATTTAGAAGCAGTTTGTAGAAAACATGGACTAATGAAAAAGCAAAAAAAAAAAAAAAACTAATAATAATTGAAGAAATTTGAAAGAAAATGCAGCTGTTTTTCTTCAGATTGTGGAGTTTGGACCAATTTTTAATGAAAAAAAAAAACAAACTTTAAATTAAAATACTGCACTTTGTCTATATAGATGTAATGAGTTCTCTTAGAGATATGAAAAAAAGTGAAGATTATCTATTTTGAAAACAAACTGTTACATTTCTTAACTTATGTACAGAAACGATTTGATTCACAATCAACAGATGATATAACTAAAGGTGCAATTTGTTTATGTAGTTGAGAAAGTAATAATCTATAAGAGAGAAATGATATTGTTAAGCTGACATGCCAATACTGACATATGTATATTATAACTTCATTCTTTAAGTTCATCAGCAGAGAGCAAACAGTTTGTGAAATGTGAGGCTACAGAGCTCTGGTTTTTGCTCTTGATGCCTATTTTGTGCTTGTATTTCTGTACAAGAAACATGCTGCCGCTGTAAAAAGCCATGTGTATATAAATTATGTTATATAAAGAAGAATCCAATGTGACTGTCTCTCATTATTCATTGGGAACTTTGAGGGCTTGTGGGAAATCTTAATATCATTGTCCAAAAAGTACAGTACAGGTATGTGGCCATTTTGAAGAACCTGGAAAAAAACTAATTACGATTTTGAAAATTTATGAAATTCTCAGGGATATCTACACATCTTTTACAGTTTTGACAGACTTACACACATGCTTAAAGTCAAGACTGTCATCTGTCAGACAAGGTCATTTGAACCTTCAAATAATCATTTGAGTCTCAGTTTGTTTTGTCTTTAACATTGAATCAAATGGCATTAAAAGCTTGGTCTTTAATAACATGAGTAGAACTAAATTCATGTGTTTATATTCACTATGATGTTTAGGAAAGTCCTTAAAATGATCACTGTTAATGTGTGCAAAGTCATGCACAACTTCTAAACAAAACTAAAAGGGGGTAATCACATTTAAATTAACTTTAGCTTTGGTTGAAGGGAACTTTATTGTATACCTTTTATACATTTCATTTTTATATAAACATTCACTCTTAGAAAAAAGGGTCCATTGGGGTTCTATGAAGCTTACATTCTTAGAAGAAAAGGTTCTATATAGAACCTTAAAAGGTTCTATCAGCACTACGTATTTGGAACCCGTAAAAGGTTCTACACGGAACCATTTTTTAAGGGTTCAATAATAATAATCTTTTAGGGTTCTTTGTAACCAGGAAAAAGATTCAACAGGGAACTTTTGGGTTCATTCATTATCACTGTCATCACATCAAGACCCTAAAATGTATTTATGAATGCATGCGAATGATCACAAAATTCAAGATATGGAGGTTACAAAATGTATATATTCATATCATTTTATGTAGTTAATCAATATCACACGAAGAGTGCCATTTCAGTTTTTCTCCTCCAAAAATCAGCATGATTAAAATATGATATTAAGGTGCTACAACAGTTTAATAAACAAAAATTTAATTCCAAAACTACAAAATTTTGCAGAATAATGTAATATGTGAATGAATGATAGCCTATAAAGAACCTTTGTTCCAAAAGGGTTAGTTCTTGCCATTTTTAGCATTAAAGGTTCTTTTGAGTTGAGTAAAGAACCCTATGCTTCATCTAGAACCCTTTTTCCTAAGAGTGTAGGGTACTTTGCTCAACTCCAAATTCCTGCGTGCTGTTTTTGGACATTTTCGTTTCGTTTTATCGCGTGATTTTTCGTGACAAAACGTGGTTTCGAGACAAGAATTGTTGGGTGACAGTTGTTGTCAACTCGTGTAGTGCGTTACCTCCTGTTGCGGATCAATCACGTTGTGTCGTGTGGTGTGAACAGCTCACCAACTTGAACGCTCCTGATTTCACAGAGAACAAGTCATGTAGTGTGAACCGCACAGTTCAGCCAACCCGATCTCACGGGAATTCGTACGAATTCTACGAGGTGACTAATTCGTAACAATTCGTATGACCTAACTCATACGAATTAGTAAGATTTTTGCTAAATCATACATATTTTACGAATTGATCAATTCATGTGAATTCGTACAAATGACCTACCCCTGACCCCGCCCCTAAACCTACCCATCACGTGGGTTTAGACAAATCGAGTGAGGTCGTTTGAATTAGTACGAATTAGCTACTTTTTAATCACTCGTACGAATTCGTACGAATTGGTCATGAGATAGCGTTGGTTCAGCCTGACGTTTTAAAATCATGTAGTGTGAACAAGGCTTAAGACAAATGCATGAGAGGACAGGATAATATGGAGACTCAACACTGGAATCGGTTTAACACCGCTCCTGGAATTGCTCGCCAGTTTAGCGGTGAACAGGGTAAGGATCTGTCTTGGCATACAGTGTCTCACCGTTTTAGAGAATCCACCTTGTTAACCTTGTTTCACTTGGGGGTGGTGATGGCACAGTGGATAAGACACATGCCTTTGGTGTGAGAGACCCAGGTTCGAATCCACTGTGAGACTCCAATGTGTCCCTGAGCAAGACACTTAACCCCTAGTTGCTCCAGAGGCGTGTGACTTCTGACATATATAGCAATTGTAAGTCGCTTTGGATAAAAGTGTCAGCTAAAATGAATAAATGTAAATGCAACCTATGCTGAGGAGCATATGTTGTGTGGACAGAGGACAACTGATGAGATGAGCAAGTTTAATCTATTTGGGTCCGATGGGGAACATTATAAACTGTTATAAACATTATAAACTTTATAAACAAAAATCAGAGTGCAGGGAATATAACGTGGGTTAGGATCTGATGATATCACTATAAAAACAAACCATCTTGCTCCTGAAACTATCAAAAGGTCATTAACATCATCCAGACTCTCCATGAACGGACTCATCTGGAGCCGTAATTGGTGTTATCTTTTCCATCACATAGTTGTTCTCCCTCACAGTCCACACAAACTCCTCAACTGTTGGTGGGGCTTTCTTGAGCCATTTAAATGTAATGTTTTTTTGTTTTTTTTTTGGCAGCTGTCATAAATATGTGTAAAATGCTTTCCCCCTAAACTCTACCATTCAGGAAAATGTTTTCAGTTACCAATACTATGTTCGCAGGCGTATTTGTCACCCATTGTAAATTTGGTATACAATAATGGGGGGCTGCCAAGATGAAGTGAGTGGTATTCGTCTGGTCACGTGATATGAAAGATAGGACGAGCTTTATGTATACAGTAGGCCACTAACTATTACTGGTGACTTAACACTACTGGTTAAAAGTTATTTTTGAAAGTAGTCTCTTATGCTTGCCATTTCGTCATTTAAAAGAACTCTTTCTATTTTAAGATATTTTAAAATGTCAAAACTGCATTTTCAGCAGTCTTCAGAGTCACATGATCCTTCAGAAATCATTCTAATATGATGATTTGATGCTCAAGAAACATTTTTGATTAGCATCAACATCAAAAACAGTTTTTGCTGCTTAATATTTACATGGAAACTGTGATTTTCTGTGAAAAGAACAGTATTTATTCAGTGTAATCTAAAGTATTAGTCATTTCTGAAGGTGTAAATGGATCTGACTTGCTATATATTTCACTAATAAATCCTAATCATAGTTTGTAAAAAGTTCTCCCTGAAATAGTCAGAATGAACTCAGTCACCCCACTTCAGGCTTTGGGTTCTTTCTGGCTCCTCCTCAGCACTGAGATGTGATCGGCTTGGGGGTTTCTGGAGCCAGATGGTCCTGTGGAAAGCAATCGTGTGAAAAGCAGTGGGGATCTTTGTCCTGGCTTTGATAGTAAAGGACGCCAGGAAAAAAAAGTGCTTAACTGGCACTTTTTTCCTCCTTGCACTTCTCTCCAGGTCTGGGTGTTGGATTTCTATTATGGTTCAGGCTTCCAGCTGGTCCTCGTCATTAGAATGATCTTGACATCCATGCCCTGATCTCTCCGACTTTGGATAACACCCAGACAAGAGAGTTATCTGGATCCAATATGGTTTTTCCAATATACATTTCTTAAGATCCAGGCAAATGAGGGTTGGGAGTGTCTCTGAGTGGGTCAGCCAAGGACTTACGTTGGGTTCTGAGAGATGAACAGGTGGTAAAGCTCAGTGCAAAATGAGAACTGGCATTTACTACTTTGTCTCACAACTCTCCTGAGTTTTGCCTCGCTCTCCATCTCGCTGCTTTCCTTAGCAGTGTGGTCCAGCAATGCCTTTGAACGGCATGTGCTGACAGAGAGCAGTACGGGGAGGAGGGATCTCCACCCCGCTGAAGGCCCCTCGTGAGCAGGCTCCTGTGGAATGCACTGCGTGTGAGTTTTCCACATGCGTGTGTGTGCGTAAGATTGGTGTGGACGACAGCCAACTGTATATATGGCCCTTACATTACAGAGGGCACAAGGCAAGACAGGTTGTGTGAGGACACACAGATGTGACGCTGGTACAGTCTGGAGTCTTTAAAGGTGGTTTTTCCGGTTCTTTTCAGCAACCTACTCTATTATTGAGTGAACAAAAAGAGTTCCTCCTTCAATTTTCTAAATATTTTTTCTCGCCTTGGAATGTCCCACTTACTTTAACATACAACTCTAAGGTGGCAACTCAACTTAAAGCTACACTGTGTAACTCTTTTAGTATATTCTTAGCTAAAAACCCTTAGTTCTTTCAAAAATATATGCGCTCATTAATGTATATTTACTTCGTTCAAGTAATAGTAAGTGTATAATATGCCATTGAAAATACATATGAGTAAGTGGTTCGCCATGTTGACCCTCCATCTTGAAAGTACATTAGCCAAAGAGGGGCATACCCGTTAATTCAAGCTTCGCCTTTCGTGTTTACGTTTGAGTTAACACTCATGGGCGAGGTCGAACTGGAAGCCATGTTAATCTTGGACTACATTGGCCACCGTAGGAGTTAAAACGAAATCGGAATTGAGAGGAACAGAAACTAATATTCACTGGATGATCATATACCTTTTCACTGCTAGATGGGGGTAAAAATCACACAGTGTAGCTTTAAATTGGTAAGTATAAGCAAATCGACTGTGCAAGTCATTTCAACTAACTTTTTTAAAAAAAGTGTCTACACTGTAAAAAATACAATAAAGGAGATTGGTTTAATCAACAGAAACTCTGAGGCCCTGTTTACACGAGAACGCTCGCAGGTGAAAACGTAAAAATATTTTATCGTATGTGCCTTTCGTTCATACGGTGACAGCGTTTTTATGCTTAAAATGTGACACCACCCTCCAGAGTGGAAATCTTAAAAACGCCCCATTGCCGTGTTCCCGTGTAAAGGGTAAAAACGCAAAAGTCTGCTAGACAGAGAAGGTTGTACGCAGGCGCGCGGACTTTGTGTTGTTGTGTGGCAGTGCTTCACATCGCCACCTAGCCGCCTGGAGTGCATACTACATTGAATTTCGCACACTTTTGCGTCACCATATGCACGTGGATTTCCCACCCAAAACGCTCATCTAAACGCAGAATAAAAAGTGAAAACGCAACGCCACTTTTGCGTT